AAACCATCAAGAAATAATTATTTTTAACAAAAACACACGTGGGATGGCTCTTGTAAACGCTGCAAAATATAGTGAACACAATATAACTGAAGCATGTTTCCCATGTAAATTATACATCTTTGAGTTGATTGGAGTGAATAGGAACCTTCCAGCTGTAATCCATTAATTCCTGATTAACTGTGGTACAAACATGAGGAGACACAGAGGCCAAATTTCCTTAATCATACATCAACATGGGAAAGATAAGAGAACACACAGACCAAATGAGGGAAAAGTGTGCTGACCTTCATATGTCAGGGAATGGGTATGAAAAATAGCTACTCGCCTTAAAATGCCCATTTCTACTGATCATTAAAAAGTGGACATTAACTGGAACTGTTAGAAATCTGCCTGAAAGAGGACCCAAGTTTATTTTGCCCCCACATACAGTGAGGAGGATCATAAGAGGCAAAAAAATCCCCAAGGATGACTGTTGGTGAATTACAAGACCAAGTAAAATCTTGGGGTTACCACGTTTCCAAAAAAAAACATCAGACGACACCTTCATGCTAACAGATTTTTTGAAATGTATGACAGAAAGAAGCCTTTTCTTTGTGTGTCAGTTACATAAAATGTACCAGGAGTTTGCAAAACATTACTACGACTTTGACTTGAACCAAATTCAATGGTCTAATGAAACAAAAATGGAGTTTTTTGGAAATAAACATTCAAGGAGGGTTTGGCGTAAACAGAAGGATGGATATAATGAAATGAACCTCATCCCAACTGTAAAATATGGTGGAGGTTCTATGATGTTGTGGGGCTGTTTTTCCTCCAAAGGCCCTGGAAACCGCGTTAGGGTACATGTCACTATGGACTCCATGAAATACCAGGATATTTTATATCAAAATTTGGCTGCTTCTGCCAGGAAACTAAAACTGGGCCGTCATTAGATCTTCCAGCAGGACAGTGACCCTAAGCACATGTCCATATCAACATAAAAATGATTAGATGACCACAGAATCAAGCTTCTGCCATGGCCATCTCAGTCCCCTGACCTGAACCCCACTAAAAACCTGTGGGCTGAACTGAAGAGGAGAGTGCACAAGAGAAGGCCTAGGACCCTGGATGATCTGGAGAGATTCTGTAAAGAGGAATGGTTTCAGACGCCCTGCTCTGTATTCTTCAACCTTTTAAAATGTTATAGGAGAAGACTCAGTGCTGTTATACTAGCAAAGGGAGGCTGTACAAAGTATTAAAGGCAGGGCTGCCAATAGTCATGGCACATGTGTTTTTGTTGGAAATAATTATTTCTTGATGAAGGATTTGTTTTTCTTTGAATAAATTTATTTCAGTGAAAGGTTGGATTTTTCTCATTTTTTCAGTGTGAGATGAAGCTGCTTCGCCAAAAGGTGGATTTTTTTCTAACCCTTTTTACAAATTTTTACAAGGGGAGGGCACTGTATATTGTTTATATACGACACTGTATTAGTACTAAATGGTGGTAAGTTAATCATGTCCTCTACAGTGAACACCCGTAAAAATAATCATTAAACTCATTTACTATATGAATTTCACTTTCAATTATAAGGCCCTTACTATCCTGCAGATTAGTGATTTCAGCTTTTATAGTTCTTTTGGAGTTAAAATATTGGAAGAAATTTTTTATGTCATCCTTAGCTTCCAATGCAATCTTCCTTTCGACATTCCACTTAGCGAGTCTAATGTTATTATTTAACTCCACCTGTTGTCACGCCTCGGTGGGCGGGGCCACGTGACCAAGCCTCCTGACGCTCGTCTATTTAACCGGCACTCTGACAAACCACTGCTGCGAAGTATCGTTGCTCTCATGCTCTCAGTAATACTAACCTCACTACCCCCAGTCTACAGTGTGGAATACCCAGTAAGACTGACCTCAGTATCTCCAGCTTACAGTGTGAATCCCCCAGTCCAGCACAGAGCAGCTCCACTCCTGAATCCTGCAGGTCATTGTCACTCAGGTCCAGCTCTCTCAGGGGTGAGGAGTTTGATCTTAAAGCTGAAGCCAGCGCCTCACAGCACTCTGTGAGTTCACACCGGCCCACCCTTAATAAAATTAAACACTTTTAAATCCACTTTTTACACTCCAGCACTGTATTCAAATGAGGAGAATAGGGGCCATAACATAATGGATTTTCAGAAAACAATTAAATTACTAGAAATCATTTTAACAATCATCTTGATTCTGTTTGGTGTCCATTATATTTTTGTCCATAACACATTAAAGTCAACATGTTTAACTGTAACAGTAACAGTTAACTTTGCTAACCAACAAAAATGTTTTGCATGGATTATATGGTTGAATGGATGCTTCCTGCTTCACTGCTAATTATTCCTTGCATGGATCGAGAGCTGATAAGATTGTGGGAGAAGATTGTGGGAGTAGGAGAAGAAAACAGAAGCTGTTTGTGTTTGTGTGACGACCCTGACGTTTCTCCAGGCCCTACTGGGAAGAGTGTGGCTGATCTTGATTGGCCTATCCTATAATTAATTGCTAATTGGTATCTTATATAAGACTATGTGGGGGTTAACGAGAGTTGGACTCTGTGGGGAGGGAGTCTCAGGAGTGGTTCTTTGTGTGTCATGTAACCTTTTGCTGACTCTTTAGTTTTGTTTTCTCTTGTGCATTTTATACCATGTAGATTAAGGGTTGGTTGTGATTGTTTGCTTCTCTATCCCTAGACTTTATTATCTGTCTTATTCTTACCGTTGAACCCGTACAAATAATAAATAATCTTTATTGATTATATATTCTGTTTTGATCCCTCTTTTATGTTGCGACCTCAAACGAGCGGGTTGTAACAGTTTGTTTATTATGTAACTGCTGTCTTGTAAAATTCATATTCTGTACTCACTGCAGCTTCTCCAGTTTACAGCTGGGATCCTCCAGTACAGCAGAGAGCAGCTTCACTCCTGAGTCACCTGGGTGATTGTAGCTCAGATCCAGCTCTCTCAGGTGTGAGGGGTTTGACCTCAGTGCTGAAGCCAGGGAAGAACAGCCTTCTTCTGTGACTCTACAGCATGACAGCCTGCAGAGAGACAGACAAAGACTCCTCAATAAATAAGATCACCTCACCATTACAAGTATTACTTTTAAGTAAAAGTAACTGCTGTAATAAATATTTCAAGAATTACAGTTTAGTGTCTAAGAGAAGACAAGCACCCTCCTCCCTTTCCCTTAGCTAATTGCTCACTATCTCCTCTTTATAGTGTGGAATACCCAGCATACTGACCTCAGTATCTCCAGTGTACAGTGTGGAATACCTAGTAATACTGACCTCAGAATCCCCAGTTTACAGTGTGGAATACCCAGTAATACTGACCTCAATATCTCCAGTTTACAGTGTAAATCCCCCAGTGCAGCAGAGAGCAGCTTCACTCCTGAATCCTTCAGGTTATTGTCACTCAGGTCCAGCTCTCTCAGTGGGGAAGAGTTTGATCTTAGAGCTGAAGTCAGCACTTCACATTGTTTATCTCTGAGATCACAGCTGTTCAGCCTGAAACAGAAAACACTTTAAGACACAGACATATACTGTACACATCCTACACATTAGTAAAATACAAAGCATTACAATAAGCATTTGTTTTCAATATGATTAGCAGCACAGCTTACACTTCAAAATGAATTATAGTCTGCAGAGTGTACTGTGCATCCCGGCAATTTGCTGCAGTCATATGATCACTAATTGTGAGTCAGTGCATCTTAGCTCAAAACTATAGGTAAAAACATTAAGTACAAACTACAGCCAAAAATGACAGAATATATAGAAACACATCAACAGCAAGATGGACTTGAAGCCTCCCATAACAGTCAGACCAGTGCTTCCAGTGCAGTCCTCAGCCATCTTTCTGCCAGGTGTCCCTACACTGGACACGTATCACTGAAAGGAGGAGATGTGAACATCCCCAGCAGCTAATGCAGCAGCATCTGGCACTAGGATTCCTGATCCCATGAGTAAAATCCATTTTCCCTGTATTGTTATACCAGGGAACATGTCAAATCACCAATTAGGTCTGGGTGATATGATGATATTATCGGTAATCAGCATAATCAGACAAGTATCCCAGTGTCGATATCTGACAGTGACTAACCGGCGATTATTATCTTTGCTGGGGAAATGTGCTTAGGCTACATACAAAGCAAGATACCAGAAGGATTCATGATTTGCTTTCAGTTCAGCCTTCTAGCCTAAGATTCTGAAGCAGTAAAATAGAAACATTGCTATTTTAGCGCAGAGTTTCACAAGCATTGTCCCTTGCAGTAACCGTGTGTTCGCCATTCTTGCAAGTCCAGTATTGTCACATCACCAACTTCTATCTTCGAGTCAACAGCCAGAGTGTCAGCCATTCAAGTGCAGCTGTCTGGTGGGAATTTTGAGCTTCCTCTCTCTCTCTCTTTCTCTCTCTCTCTCTCTCATCTATCTATCTGAATTAATCAATCATTATTTATATATCTTGTTTTAACCACAGGTGTCACCGAGTACAGAGCACACGAGACAACGGGACTTCCGTGGAAGAGCTTTATTTACTCGACCAGGCAGACACAGTCGGAGGGGGTGATAAGAAGAGATAATCGGGGCACTGAGCAAGGGGTCTAGGAAGCCGGTGAAGTCAAGCCGAGGGAGGACACAGGCGGGAGTCGGGAAAGCAGGGGATATCGGGACCAACACGGAAGGACTGGGCTAGGGCTGCAAAGAAGACAAGGAGAGAAACGCTCAGTAAGTCGCATGGGAATCAACAATACCTCGCACCGAGGAGAGCGAGGCGACCCCTTTTAAAGGCGCTGGTACAGGTGGACGAGATTCCGCAGATTAGGGAGTGCGCTCCGTCCGTCGGGGGCGTGGTCGGGACGTGACAGAACCACCCTCCTGACGGCCGCCACCTGGTGGCCGAGGGGAGTGACGGGGCCGTCCCCGCGGCCGCGGTGCCGGTCTATCTGGGTGAGCAAGATGGAAGGATGTCACTAGCTCCGGGTCCAGGATGTCAGCGGCTGGAATCCCGGTGCGTTCCTCCGGACCGTAACCTTCCCAGTCGATCAGGTACTGGAGGCGCCCCCTGCATCGACGGGAGTCCAGCAGGGCGCTTACGGCATAAGT